TTATAAAGGAATATAATAAGTGCAATAGTGAGGAGGACATTGGCTCATAAAATTGTGATGTGGAATCTATATCAGTGGAGATAAGAAATACTGAGGGGGTTTGTCTGTCGGTCCCCAAACGAGTGGAAGTGTAAAGAAAAACATTAAACAAGAAATCAAAGATGCATGCAATAAGGATACAACTATAATCATGGCTGGCTTCAATTTACATATAGATTGGGCAAACTAGTAATGGTATTGTGGAGCAGGATTCCCTGGAGCATATACATTATGGATTTTTTCATACAGCAACATGTTGAGAAACCAATTTGTGAACAAGTATTCTGGTCGAGGTACCACGCAATGAAAAAGGATTAATGAACAGTCTTGTTGTTCAGGGCCCTTTGGGGAAGAAAAACTTAAAATGATTGAATTCTTTATTCAGATGGAGAATGAAGTGGTTGAATCCAAAATGAGAGTTCTGAAATCTTAATAAAAGGAACTATAAAAGTATGAGAGGTGGATTGGCAAAGATGGTTTGGAGAACCTTACTGAAGGAGTTGATGATAGATCGGTAATGGTTCATGTTTAAAGAATGATTTCCAACAATTGTTCATTCAAATTTGATGCAAAAATGAAAGCAGGGATGACAAAAGAAAATAAGGACAGTTATGGATCTGAAGAAGGGATATACAAAATTACTAGAAAAGCAGCAATCATGAGGATTGAGAGCATTTTAAAGTTAGCAGAATAGGACAAAAATTTTGATCAAGAGTGGGAAGTAGTTTATGGATAAGGGTCATTACAGTGTGGAGCTGGAGTAACACAGCAGATCAGGCAACATCAGAGGAGCAGGAAAGTCCATGTTTCAGGTTACACCCTTCATCAGGATTATGAGTAAAATTGCAAGGAACATAGAAACTGACTGTATAAACTTCTATAAATATGTGAAGAAAAAGAATAGTAAAAATTAGTCTAAGTTCCTTACAGTCAGAACCTGGGGGAATTGTATTGGGATCAAAGAAATATTGAACACATACTTTGCTTCTGTCTTCACAAATAAACCTCCCAAAAATGTTAGAAAGCACAAGTGTCTAGTGAGAGGACAGAACTGAAAGAAATCGTTTTAGTTAGAAAAAGGTGCTGTGGAAATGAATGGGGTTTAAGGCTAACAAGTCACCAGTGTCCAATAATCTGCATTCCAAAGTACGAAAGGAAATAGCACTGGAAATATTACATGCGTTAGTGGTCATCTTCCAAAACTCGATAAACTCTGAAGCCATTCCTAGAGATTGCAGCGTGGCAAATTTAACCCCACAATTTAAAAACAAAGGGAGAGAAAAACAAGAAAATTACAGAGCAATTAGCCTTGCAACAGTATTTGGGAAATGCTCAAGGACATAATAACAGGACATTTGGAAAGCATTAACTGATTGGACAAAGACACATGGTTTTATGAAATGCAAACCATGTTTAACAAACTACGGGAGTTTTTCTGAGGATGTAATTAGTCAAAAGGACAAAGTCGAACCAGTGGATGTATTTTATTTGGAATTTCACAAGGCTTTTGATAAGGTCCCTCATAAGAGGTTAATGGATAAAGTTAAAGCACGTAAGGTAGGGATAATAGATTGGCATGATTTGAGAATTGGTTGACAGACAGGAAACAGGATAAGAATAGGTAGGCTTTTTACCAAGTGGCAGACAGTGGGTAACTTGAGGGATACCTCAAGGACCAATGCTTGGGCCCTGGCTACTTACAATATATATTAATGACCTTGATAAAGGAACCAAATACAACATTTCCAAGTTTGCCATGGTGATATTGTGGGTTATGAGGACAATGCAAGGAGACTTTAAGTTGACTGAGTGGGAAAACATATGTCAATATGTAGCATAACCAAGCGTGAAGCTACATACTTTGGTGTGAAAATGGAAAGGAAAATTATCAGTTAAATGGTGATTTGTTGGGAAGTGTGGATGTACAAAGAAATCTAGATGCCCTTGTAGTTAGGCAATTGCAGCAAGCATTTGCGAAGGCAAATGGTATTTAAACAAAAGATCAAAGTTTATTATACATAAGGAAAAGAGAAACAACCATTTACTTTATACAAGAATAATCTTAAGTGATCTCCCGAAAAATATCAGAGAGTAAGATTTAGCCTCTTTAACCTTACAACAATCTTACAGGCTCAATTCCCAAAGAAGGGTCACTACCCGTGTCCATGTTAAAACTCCTTCTTCAACCAGCATGGCAGTAATCAAATTTCATTTTTGCAAATTTCATGCATTTACCTGAAGCTATTTGTTTGTCTCATGTGTCTTCCTGAATGCTTAAACACCCTGCTGGACCACCATACTGTTTCTGCAGTTTTCGTTGCAGCAACGCAACCATCCCAGAATGTTTTGACTGTTAATAACAGCATCTTTGCTTTAGGGATCTCTTTTCTTTGACTGAATCAGTTCCTGTCTGAATGAATCTGCTTTCTGAGCTCATCTCTCTCTCTCTCTTTGTCTCTGGATTATAAATCTTAAGTAAGCAAACAATTTAGCAATTATCTCCTCAGGGTTCTTAATAGTTATTTGGCTTAAATTGCACAATTTTTTGGAAATGTTTTTAACTCATTGTTCAAAAGTAACTTGATTTGTCAAAAAATGGTTAGACCTTCATAGAACTGAAAACTAAAATTTATTTTACCTCCTCTTTAGTACCTGATCTCTCAAACAATGACAAATAAATAATGGTGTGGACTTTTGCACTCTAATTTTGTCAATAAAAAGACATTCTTTTCAACAATGCAATTCTTAGTAGGCACATGATTCTAGATAATTGCTGGTCCTGGTTGCTTAAACTGGCTTCGGGAAAACACTTAACTGTCTTATGACTGGAATTTATGGCTGTTCTGTTTGAACAGTATTTGCAGGCTTGGAATTTGTTTTGGATTTCTCGGTGCAGGAAAGCCTGCTGCAGAAGAAAATTCTCAGCTCAGGTCCCCTATTTCTGAAAGATATTTATCACACTTTGAGATGATTTCAGTGTGATATCTGATTGTTCCTCTCAAAGAGTGACTAAAAGAACTTCTCAGTATTGCAATTCCTGAGCAAGCTATGCCTACTAAGACTCAGGGATAACCACGCATGACAAGTGACTTGACTACATGTGCAAGAACATCAGATTGACAGACTTTAGAACTTTCTGTGCCTTATCCTTGTGCCTTCAAGAATAATTGCCATCTCAGAAAGTGTTCCTATTTTAAGTACATCTGTGCAGGGAACCTTTTTTGGATCTAAACATTTATATTTTTAAGTTGTGAATTGTATTTGTTAGCCAATTCTGTATCTTCATTGAATGGGTTTTATTTTATATCAATAATTTTGTGTTTATTAAAGAAACCTGGATGATGGATTTTTTTCATTTTAGGTCTGATATAGAATGAGCACAGGATTGGCCATATTGGGATTTGTATATAACATATTTTTATTTTTTGTTACGACCCATAATGCAGTGGAACTAGAGTGACAATGCAGTCCTCACACCTTGGTCATGACATGAGTCAACAAAATCTACTGATGGTCAATCGATCATGTCAATGTTCTTTTGTTATTCAGCTTCCTTAGCAAAGATTAGGATGTCTTCAGTCCATCATGCTCGTGCTGGTGAAAAATCAGAATATTGATGACACTCTGTCAATGCCAAATGTTTAGAATTAGATTTATTGTCACGTGTATTCAAGCACAGGAGTACAGTGAAAGATGTATAAAGTTGCCATTCTCTGACTCCATGTTAAGTACAAAACCAGAATTAAAAAAAAACAAAAACTGAAATAAAGAAACAGAGCCAAAAGTAAAGAAATACATCCAAATCTTAAAGTCTTATATCCATAAATGTCAATGGTGTTTGGAAAGCTCAGCCACCGATGCAAGCACCCAGGCCTAGCCATGGCCTGGATTCTCGGTCAGCCTGGGAATCTCGTTGGGTGGAGACGCATCAGTTGCTGCCACTGCTGCCCCCTGGAACATGCTCCTCAATCTCCAGGAGGCACATACCTGATCAATACCCAAAGACGTAGGCTGGATGGGCAAATGTCTGATCCTAATATATAAATAACACCATCCCCAGGATTTGCAATAGTATCATAATAAGGACAGCATGGCAGAAAGAAGTTTGAAAACCCAATTTCATTGCTCAAATTATTATTCGAGGCTTCAATAGTATCACCTTACCCCATTCATTTGTGCTATTGGTCGGTAATGTATGGATTTTTTTGTTTTACCAATTTTCTCCATCTCCTAGCCAAGGTGATAATGTCTGATTGGGTGACAATTATCAGGAACCCTGACCTCTTTCCATATGAAACCAGTGACTCTTTACCAGTTCCTCACCTCCTTATTAACTGTTTTGAGTCTGCTGAGAGAAGCACTTCTGCTGCTAGGAGTCTCTCTGTGAACTTCAAACTACATCAGTTTGAAAGTACAACTGAACCAGTCCCACAAAAGTCCAGATAAATTGAAATCAGAGAATCCTCTTCAGCTCAACACATCTTCATGATGCCGTAGCTACTCTGGATTGTCTTCACCTTGACGTTTTGGCTTAACTGAATACTTTAAAACGAATTTAACTCCAAGAATAAAGTATTCTTCAATACTGTCATTACTTCAATCAGTGTAAACATAAACTTAGCAAGCGCACCTGCTGTTTTTGTAACTCCAGTGTTTTAGCTGTTAACCACTTAAAGAAACATAACCTCAACCTTTTAGGTATAATAGATTTCACTGTTCTTTATTTAAAATGATCCCATTTTCTCCAGCTAAATTTTAATTCCTAAAACTTTAAAAAAGCACTCAACAAAGGAACCATGACCTAGATATTCACAACAATATCAATCATGTTGAATGGATATTTCTCATGGCCACAGGAAGTATTCTTTAGATGTTTTGCTGTGTTAATGGTGCTACATCAATAAAAGTTGTTGTTGTTCCTGACAGCTGTCATTTCTGAATCTGTTCTCTGTTGACTGCAGGTTTTGGCTGCGAACCATGGATTCAGATGAAAGGATATGATATAAATGGAATCCAGCTTGTGTGTAAATCCACTGGATGGTTCCCTGAACCAAAGATAGAGTGGGTCAGTGAGGATGGACACAATTTAATACAAGCTGAAACAACATCCCACTGGGGCTCAACAGGTCTTGTAGATGTCCACAGCAACATTGTAATACCAAGACAATCATCAAACAGATTAACGTGTCGTGTACAAAACAACGTCCTGAAAACGGAACAAGAAGTAACTATCGGGATATCAGGTTTGTAAATTAAACCATTTGATCAGAAAGGCAAAGGTGATTTAAACTCTATCATAAATCAAAGTATAAACATAATGTTCTGAAGACGGGCGCTCCGGTTTATTCCCACAGTCCAAAGATGTGCAGACTAGGTGAATTGACCATGCTAAATTGCCCATAGTGTTCAGGGATGTGTAGATTAGGTGGGTTATAGGGGATGGGTCTGGGTGGGATGCTTTGAGGGTCAGTGTGGACTTGTTGGGCCACACTGTAGGGATTCTATGATATTCTAAATGATAAGATGCCACGTTGTGATATGACAGGGGAAGACAATACAGTTCTATAGTGCTTGCTTCAAATCTGTTTCTACTGGTATCCTGCTTCCAGATAAGGTTAAATGAAAAATTTAACATTTTCTGCTGATGCTGACAAACTCTGGACCGTCGGGTTGATTTTTTTTCATGTCACTAACAATGTTTAGTGTATGACACATTGCCCCATACTTGAGCCAGTTGTTTATTGTTCTCATTTGTACGTTCTCGCATCCTTTGCTCCAGTCTCCTTACCTTTGTGCACTCACTCATGATGCACTTCACTTCTCCCTTCTAGAGTGCTTTTATCCTCCCTTCCAATCAAATGAAATTACAGAGGAGCAAGCCTGGCTCGAAAAGTTGTGCTGAATTTTGATATTTTGGTTGTGTCATTTTAGTCGGGTTTCATGCAGGTTTCTCTCCAGGAGGCCTACCTCATTAACAACCTAACCTGCCCAGCTTGTCCAAGCCCTATTCTCCTGCTCACCAAGGCCAGAAGTGCTTGTCAATGCCTGGAATAGTCTGACATCCGTGGGATCCAAACCATAGTGTGTTGTGTATCCAAACAAGCTCTGTCAGTGTGGAATTAGCCGACATGTTTTATGACATGGAGAGTGAGGAGGACTTGGCAGTCCAGTTCACAGACAGGGTGCTGATGGATGAGGGATGTCTTCTTCACCCTGGACTGGCAGAGAAGGCCTCGACACCAGATTCTTCCAGTCTGGTCCGAAGTTGCCACCCGGGTCTTGATCTTCAGGATTCATGCCTGTCAGTGAAGAAATAAGGTCAACAGCCTTCTCTGTTGTGCCAGTGCAATTGCAACCGTCTTCTCTCAGCTACCTCACATTCCCTCTGTCTCTGCTGCTACACTCACTTCACTTCAAGGCTTATGCTCCTCCACTCTCAATTGTGTACAACATCTTCCTTTTACTTGCTCTCAACCACCACAAACACCGTGACATTCACCCTGCGTGCCCTTTGTGTCGCATTCTCATTCCCTGAAGACACCTCACCACTTTCCTTCCACCTGCACTAACAGCTATACCACCCACATCTCACTCAATTCTCCTCTTTCTCTCATTACCAGCAAAAACAGCCCACAAAGGTCAGAAAGAGCCAAGACGGGTAGTTGAGTGCCTGACATTCGGCTCTCACTAGCTACGAGGAGACGACCCGGAATCTGGCTGTCCCAAACAGCTGACCAACGATGTCCACGTTTCTGGGTTGATATCAGAGGCTGCCCCTGATTTGCTGTGCTCCCTGAGTGAAGAGTGTCTTCTTTGATGTGACTGACCATTACTCCCCTTAGACATTGAGACATTAGCTTACTTTTTATTCAGTCCTGGGATATACCATGCTGCCAAAGCCAGCATTTATTGCCTCTACCTAGTTGCTCAGAGGGTAGTTAAGAGTCATCTCAGAGCTCACTCTAGGTCACATGTAGGCCAGACCAGGTAAGGGCAGCAGATTGGCCTCCCTAAAGACCATTTGTGAACTAGATGGGTTTTTCTGACAATCAGCCAGGGTTTCTTGGTCATCATTAGACTCTTAATTCCAGATGGTTATTGAATTCAAATTTCACTATCTACCATGACGAGATTCGTACCTGGGTCTCTGCATTAATAGTTTAGTAATAATACCATGAGGCCCAGAGCAAGCCATTCGGCCCATTTGAATTTGCTCTGCCATTCAACGAGATCGTGGTTGATTTGATAATCCTTAACTCCACTTGCCTGCTTTTCCCCATAATGCTTGATTCTCATCCAGATTACGAATTAGTCAATTAATCTGGAATGTACTTAACGTTACAGCCTCTGCAGCATCTGAGGTAAATAATTTCACAGAGTCGTTACCTCTGAGAGAAAACAATTTCCTCCTCGTCTCAGTCCTAATTGGACGACCTTCTTTTTTTCTGAAACTATGTCCTCTGGTCCTAGAATGTCCTGCAGAGATTTCCTCTGCCATCTACTCTGCCAAGCTCCATGAGAATCTTAAATGTTTTGAAATGTTGCTTCTCATTTTTTTCTAAACTTAATGAGTACAGGCTCAACTTACTGAGCCTACTCAACCTCTCCTCTTAAGACAATCCATGCATATCCAGGATCAAACCAGTGGACCATCTTTGGAATGCCTCTTATGCCAGTATATCTTTTCTTAAATAAAAGTTAAACCATTCCAGTATTCCAGCTGTGGTCTGATTAGTAACTTGTCTCGTTTTAGTGAGACCTCCCATTTGTATCTTCCATTCACTTTGAAATAAAAGGCAACATTCCATTTGCCTTCCTATTACCCGCTGAACTTGGATGCTAGCTTTTTTGAGATTCGTGGACGATGACTCCCAGATCCCTCAGATATGTAGCTTTTCGCTCCCTCCTCCAAAAGCCGATTGCAGCTTCAAGATGTTTGCCTGTGGCCAAGCTGCACTGGCACCCAGCTGAACTGGAAGCAGTCTGCACCAGTTGTCAGCTTCTGGCCACACCCAGATCCTGGCCCAGGTCCCAGCTATTTACAAAGAACAATACAGTACAGGAACAGATCCTTCGGCCCATCAAGCCTGCGCCGACTCCTAATCCTAATCCACTATTTATTGCCCATACACTGTTTCTATCCCTCAGTTCTCCTTCTGTTCGTGTGTCAACCCAAGATATGCCTTATACGTTGCTACTGTGACTCCTTCCAGCACCTCCACTGGCAGTGCTTTCCAACCCACCACCCTCTGTGTGAAATACTTTCCCCACACTTCATCCCTGAACTTTTCCCCCTCTCACCTTGAACCTGTGCCCTCTTGTAGTTGACCTTTCCATCTTGCGAAAAAGCCTCTGACTGTGCAGCCTATCAATGCCTCTCATGATTTTCTCTATCAGGTCGCCCCCTCAGCCTCTCTCATTCTAGTGAAAATAATTCGAGTTTATCCAACTTTTCTTCCTAAGCAAAATCCTCCAGACCAGGCAACATCCAGTTAAACTTACTCTGCACCATTTCCAAAGCAACCACATTCTCCCATTCGTGTGGCAATCAGAACTGCATGCAATATTCCAAATGTTGCCGAACTAAAGCTTTGTACAACTGTAGCATAACTTGCCACCTTTTATATTTGATGCCTCACCCAGTGAAGGTGAGTATGCTGTATGCCTTCTTAACCATCTTATCCACCGATGTTTCAGGGATTTGTGGACCTGTACACCCAGATCCCTCTGCATATCATTGCTCCTAAGGGTTCTGCCATTTATTATATAATTCACGCCTGAATTCAATCTTCTAAAATGCATCACCTCGCATTTGTCTGGATTAAATTCTATCTACCATTTCTCTGCAAAGATCTGTAATTTATCTATATCTTGCTTTATCCTTTGGCAATCCTCCTCAGTATCTGCAACACAGTGCTAATTTTGGCGTAATCTGCAACGTTAATAATCAAACCACTTGCATTTTTCTCCATATCATTTATATATATATATATATTGCAAACAACAAAGGTCCCAGCATTGATGTCAGCCGTGCAAAGTGCTCCTCACTTATATCTGGGGACTACTGGGGAACTGTTTCACAGGCTAGTCAAGCAACAACTTGACATAGTGATCAGGATGGAATCATACCACATAGGCAATGTCCCAGACACCATTGACACCATTGACACCATCCCTGGGTATGTTCTGCTCCACTGTCAGGACAAGCCCAGCAGATTTGGCAGCACAGTGGTCAGGAGAGGGGTACTCTAGGGGTCCTCAACATTGACTATGAATGCCACAATGTCTCAAGGCACCAGTTCAAACATGGGCAAGAAAACCTTTTGCTGATGACCAGGTTGTGACCCCCAATCCCACCACAACCCCCTTGCCTCTGCTGTTGATTCAGTGTTCTTCCATGTTGAACACAACCTGGAGGAAGTACTGAAGCACTGAGGGTGGCAAGGACACAGAACATATTCAGGGTGGAGAACTTCAATGCTCAGCAGCAGCATTACTGGTCAAGTTGGAAAAGGACATTGCAGCTGGACTGGGTCTGTAGTCTCTAAGTATCACATTCTGAATGATGGGTGTGCTCACCACATCAATGCAAAACATAAGGTTGAAGGAGTTGCAACAACCTTCAGTCAGATGGGCCATCTCAGCCACCTCCAGTGGTCCCCAGCATTGCAGGTGCCAGCCTTCAGCAAATTTGATTTACTCCATGTGCTATCGAGAAACGATTAGTGGCACTGGATACTGCAAGGCTATGGGCCCTGACAATAGGGCAATAGTACTGAAGCCACACCTAAGCTAAGTTGTTCCAGTACAACTCCCTACAATGCTGATATCTACCTGACAATGCAGAAAAATAACCAGTATACCAACAGCAGTCCAAATCCACTCTGGCCAATTACTGCCCCATCAGTCTACTGTCAATCATCAGTAAAGTCTTCACCATCTCCTGAAATGTGTCTGTTCATCAAATCCCCAACTTTTGTCGATGTCAAGTCAACATGAGCCTGTATCCTGGGTAGTAAAATGCGATAAACTTGCTATCTCTTCTATCATTGCAGGAAATTTGTGATAGTTGTCAGCAACGTTTCGTCACATCAAGGGGGTAGCCTTCGCTCAGGTGATTCTAGCACAGTAAGTCCTGAGCAGTCTCTGATACCAGTCCAAGGCTTGCTCAGGGCAATCAGAGTCAGGACCCTCTCCTCATAAGAGGTGAAGAGCTGAATGTCTGGCACCACACCACCCATCCTGACTCTCTTTCTCCCTTATTTTGGCTGTTTTCGTCATGAAATGGGAGAAAGGCAGTGTTATAGGAGATGAAAGTGGATGGTACAGCTTTTACTGTTGGTGCAGGTGGGGATCTATCCCAAGCAAGTGAGTAGGCAGCACAGAGATCATACCAAGTGAGTGGTTTCAGGGGTAAGTGGGGAAGATGTTGCAGGCAGTAGTGAGACTTCCTCAATGGGAAGTGGGTACAATGGGAGAAATCGAGTGAATGTGAGGTATCGGAGAGAAGTTGGAATGGAGTGAACAAGGAAATTGGCCATGTTTCTACATTGTAGACATTCCTCCAGATGGTTGAGACTATTTTTAACCCAGACTTGCATGATCTGGTGTTGTAGTCTCCACTGCTGGTGAAAATCCTGCCTGTGCATCACCCGCTCCAGCAGGACTCCGCTCACAATGCTGGTCACTCAAATCCCCCTGTCTGCCATGTCCAGCGTAAATGTCAGGAATTGTGGAGGGCAGCTCCAGACAGACAGTGCTTGTCCAGGTGCATAACAGGCTTTTAAAGATGTTTCAAGGGATGCCAATGAATTATGAGATCCCCAGTGAATGGCAAGTTGTAAGATGAGGTGGAAATCAGCCATGAGAGAGACTGTTGAGACAATGTGGGTAATTAATAAGGTGCAGTTGATAACATAATGGGAGAGAACTCACTAGGCCTTGCAATAAACTCTGCAAAAAACTCAAGGCAACTCTGACTTCACAAACAGAATGTAAAATTCAACCCAATATATTAAGGCTTAATAAAAGTTTTGGAGTTGTCACACATTTGTAGTGGGAAGTAAGGGGTTTTATGGCTGTATAACATTCCAATACTTTGTGTATCACTGAAACCCTATTTCAGTGACTACCTTCCTTTCTGATCAAATTTGTAGTCATTGACCTGTACGTGTAAAAATGGAACTTTAACATTTCATGGAGCTAAGAATTAATGAGCATCATAGAGATTTAATTATGAATAAGTCCAATTAACATTGTAGATTTTACAGTATAACAAATTCTACTTGTCATTGCTGCAAGTATTTAGCTGCTTCAAGTGCACTGCACAATAATAATTGTATGAAATAACAAGGTGTAGAGCTGGATGAACACAGCAGGCCAGGCAGCATCAGAGGAGCAGGAAAGCTGACGTTTCGGGTCTGGACCCTTCTTCAGAAATGGGGGAGGGGAAGGGGGCTCTGAAATAAATAGAGAGAGGGGCTGGTGATGATAGAAGGTGGATAGAGGAGCAGATGGGTGGAGAGAAGATGGGCAGGTCAAGGAGGTAGGGATGAAGCCAGTACAGGTGAGTGTAGGTAGGGAGTTGGGATGGGGGTTGGTCAGTGAGGTGGGAGGAGCAGATAGGTGGGAGAAAAGACCGACAGGTCAAGGAGGCGGGGACGAGATGGGCTGATCTTGGGATGAGGTTGGGGGTGGGGAGCTTTTGAAGCTTGTAAAGTCCGCACTGAGACCATTGGGCTGCAGGATTCCGAAGCGGAATATGAGGTTCTGTTCCTCCAGCCTTCGGGTGGCATCGTTGTGGCACTGGAGGAGGCCCAGGATAAATGTATGAGATGTCGAGCGGAAGCTTCATCTTCATCTTCAATCATCCTACAATCGACATCTTTGATTCGCAGAAACTTTTCATTCTGGAGTCACGTAGCCTGGTATTGCAATGGGGCACACAGGGAAACTGTTTTGGAAATGTTATTATGTGTTGTAGGTAACATTATTGCATAATTCATTGCTGTTTACTTTCCAGGTGATTTCCTTCCTGTGGTTCCTGTCTGGCTCGTGCCATTGCTGGTTGCAATTCTGGTTCTAACTGTGGCCATTTCTGCCATGACTTATTGGACTGTGAAACACTATCCACACATGAAAGGTACGTTCTCAGTGAAACAGTGAGAGACAACAATATAGACCCTGGGGGTTTTCACTCAGTTTCAAAGGGTAATCTCTGCTGATGTTCAAATTTGAATGTAGGCTTAAAGTGAGAAGCACCTTGAGGAAACTCAGAATGATGGGATTATACCAGAAGAAACAAATTGAGAAATTACTGGAAAAACTGAGTGGGACTGGCAGCATCAGTGGAGAGAAAACAAAGTTAACATTGCGCATCCAGTGACCCTTCTGCATTCTCTCCGCAGATGCTGCCAGATTTGTTAAGGTTTTCCAGTAATTTCTCATTTTGTTTCTGATTTCAAGCATCTGCAGTTCTTTGATTTTTTTTTAATATATACTGGAAAAATGTGAAAACTGGCCATGGTGCCCATTGCATGTTCTCCAAGCTATCCCATAAATTAATTCCCAAATACACAATGCAGACGATTGCACTGCTTGTTGTGATAGAGTAGGGGAGCTGAGACCCTAAGTATGGAGGGCTGTTGACCAAGAGGCCGTGGCGATGGTGGTGGGAGTCAAGGGAGAGAGAGCACCTGGGGCTAGAGATTCGATACTGAAAGCCCAATTAGGTAAAGGGGGGGACAAGTGATTAATGTGGTTTTCCTCCCCTCAGCCCGCTACCTTCATTCAAGGACCAAACAAGGGAATGTACTTGGCTTTACCTTTCCAGCCTTGCTTTCCTTCTGCTTGCCTCAGTTGAGGTGAAGGTACCAGGCTTTGCCCACACCTTGTAAAATTGAGGATTGGTCAGGGGAGGGAAGCAGAAAGGCCAGCTGGTTGATAGATAGATCATAGAATCCCTACAGTGTGGAAACAGGCCTTTCAGCCCAACAAGTCCACAAAGCATCCGACCCAGTCCCATCCCCCTATAACCCACCTAATCTACACATCCCTGAACACTACAGGCAACTCAGCACGGCCAGTCCTCCGAGCCTGCACGTCTTTGGACTATGGGAGGAATCTGGAGCACCCGGAGGAAACCCGCGCAGACATGGAGAGAATGTACAAACTCCACACAAACAGTCACCCAAGGGTGGAATCGAACCTGGGTCCCTTGCATTGTGAGGCAGCAATGCTAACCACGGAGCCACCGTGCCACCCCAATGACAACACTCCACCCACCTATAAACCTACCGGTGGTGTCATGTTAAATTCTTCCCAGTTTTATTTCAGTACTGCCTGTTTGGGCTGGGGGTGGTGGCAGGAGTTGGACCTCTAAGTGAATAACAAAGGAATAATTGTGATTACCAATTGTCTGCTGAGTAGAAAACTCTCCCGAATTTGTAACCACTGTTTCACAATTAGATAGTCTATTCAATAACCAATGAGGATATTTCTCTTATTGTGAATATGTCTTTAAAATTTTCTTGAGTAGAAATGAAATGAGAACAATCCAGAATAACATCAACACATGAATCTGTACCATCTTTTAGCTGATGTATTAATTCCTGATTTTTTTTTTTTATTATGGCTGCCTCTGTATCAAGAGGACGAGCTGATCATCCACCTCCAGTGAACATCAGAGAGTCACTGAGGTTACAGATGGTAAATCTTGTGGTGCACAGTTTCCTGATAAGCTCTGGAATTAGTGCACTAGTATATTTACTCATTAACAACTCCATTTCCATCTATCTTCCAAACCTAGTTCCATCACCAGAATTTTAAGTATGATGAAATAAACAATTAAACTGGACCTGTTTCCACATTTGGTTATTAAGCTACAGATAAAATCAGTACTGATTTGCATTGTTGATAAACTGCATTTCAGTTCGATACTTGGATAGCAGTAATAATGCCCAATCTTTCAATCATCAACCTTTACAAGCAGACTTTGACCTAAGCTTCATGTTGTTCTGAACAAGCCCACAATTATACAACCTATTGTAGAAGGAGATCTTTTCATGTTTCCCAACGCTGAGTACTTTCCCTTGCATTGATCAATATTAAAATTAGTTGAACTTTGAAAGTTAATTATCTTACCAAAGGCCACAAGACATAAGAGCAGAATTAGGCCATTCGACCATCAAGCCTGCTCCACTATTTGATCATGGCTGACGGTTCTCAACTCCATTCTTCTGCCTGCTCCCATAACCCTTGATCTCTTGACTAATCAAGAACCTATCTATCTTTGTCTTAAATATATTCAATGACTTGGCCCCCACAGCCCTCTACAGCAATGAGTTCCACAGATTAACCACCCTCGAGCTGAACAAATCCCTCCTCATCTGAATTCTCAAGACTTGTACCTTCACCCTGAGGCTGTGCTGTCAGGTCCTAGTCTGTTCTACTGGTGGAAACATCTTCCCATTTCAAGTCTATCCAGACCTCTTGGTATTCTGTGAGTTTCTATCAGACCACACCATCCTTCTAAACTCCTTCAAGCACAGACCCAGAGTCCTTAACTGCTCCTCATATGACAAGCCCTTCATCCTGGGATCATTTTGTAAACATCCTCTGGATCCATTCCAATGCCAGCACATCTTTCCTTAGATATAGGACCAAAAACCAATCACAGTGTTCCAAATGTGTCCAACGAGAGCCTTTTATAGCCTCAGCAGTATGTTTCTGCATTTGGATTCTAGCCCTCATGAAATGAATGCTAATATTGTATTCACCTTCCGAACTGCCAGCTAAACCTACATGTTGATCTTAATACAATCATGAACTTGGATTCTGAAGTCCCTTTGTTCTTAAGATTTCCAAAGCCTTTCCCCATTTAGAAAATAGTTTACGTCTCTATGTTCCTACCAAAGTGCATAACATCACAACGTTCCCACATTGTATTTCAGCTGGCACTTCTTTGCCCACTCTCCTAAACTATCCAAGTCCTGCTTCAGATTCTCCACTTCGTCAACACCACCTGTCTTTCCATCTGTCTTTGTGTCTTCCGCAAACCTCGCAACAATGCCCTCCGTTCCCTAATCCAGATCGTTAATATATAACGTGAATTGTTGTAGTTCCATCAGGACTCCGCCATCCTGAAAGAGACCCCTTCACCCCTACTCTCTGCCTTCTTCCAGTTAGCCAATCCTCTATCCATGCCAGTAACTTACCCCTCACACAATGGGCTTTTATCTCATTTGGTAGCCTTCTGTGCGGCACCTTGTCAAAAGCCTTCTGGAAATCCAAATACATCTCATCCACTGATACTCCTCAATTTAACTTTCTCATTACGTCCTCAAAAAATTCTTAAAAATGTGTCAGGCATCACTTCCCTTGACGAAGCTGTGCTGATAGTACCCTGTTTTATCGTGCACTTCTAAGTACTCTGCAATCTCATTCTTAATAATGGGCTGTTAAATCTTACCAATAGCCGAGGTCAGGCAGAGGGGAAGAACCCACAGTTTCTGACAGCCTTTCTGGCTGTTTGAAGGAGCCAGGTATGTTTTGCTCCTGTTTGTGAGGTAGCTGCTTTCGGGTAATCCATGTGTTTGTTCAGGACCCCTCACATACCCCTTTGTATGTCACGGGAGCTGGTCTTGTGTCGACCAGACCTCGTTCCTCTATCTGGGCCATTTCCATGGTTCCATCACTAAACTTCATCCCCTGAAGTAAACAGTCCTGGTCAGAGTAGGTATGTGGCTGGCACCGGCATTCCTGCGGCCGTCTCAGTCTTCTCCACCCCCACCCCGACTCCCCAAATAAGGTCAGGGAGTATCAGGTTTAACCTGGTGTGGAGTCTTCTGCCCATCAGCAACTCAGCTGGAACGAGCCCTGTAGTTGCATGGTGGGGTGGACCTACATTTTTAACATGGATAGTTTGGAATCAAGTGAAACGGTAGGCTATTTCTTCAGGCCTGCCTTCAACATTTGGATTGCTCTTTCTGCTGTACCATTTGACAATGAATGGTATGGAGCTGTCTAAACATGCCAAATGCCATTTAACTTGAGGAAATACTCAAATTCCCTGCTGGTAAATGACATCCCATTGTCCATGACCAGTACTTCTGGGAGTCAGTGCATCACAAATGATGCTCGCAGCTTTTCAATTGTCATCCCTGAGTTTGTCCAATGAACTCTATACACATCCAAACACTTTGAATGGGCTTCCACAATGACTAAGAACGTATAGCCCATGAAAGGACCCACACAGTCCACGTGCAACTGAATCCGGGATTTACCCGGCCATTCCCACGAATGTGGGGGTGCTGCTGGTGGCAATTTTTGTCCTTGTTGACACCCTGGGAATTGCCCCACCAGTGCAGCTATATCAGCAATTATTCCTGGCCACCAGACATAAATTCTTGCCAGCATCTTCATTTTGAAAACCTCTAGATGACCCTGGCAGAGTTCAACCAATATCTGGCAGCGACCTTTATGCAGGGAAAGTCAATCTTGCTTCCCAAAGTAATATGTTATCCTCTGTGCTGATCTGGGCTCAGCGGATCCAGAAAGGTGTCAGTCCTTGTAGTGATGGCCCTTCTGTTTCACCCATTACAACCAGCTCTTTTAGTTTTGCCAGGACTGGATCTTTTTGTGTCCGCAGTTGGATATTGTGACCAGAAAGTTTTAAACCACAACGGGCTTTTCCAGGGGTGGTACCATTGGTGGGGTGTCTGCCGGTGGGCAGACGGCTCAAGACATCCGTGTTAGCCACTTGTCCACCTGGACAGTGTTCCACCTTGTAACTGTAGGCACTGAGAGAAGGGCCCTCCACTGAATTCGACCAGAATCTGTGAGTGGCACAGCCTTATCTTCTTCGAGCAGCCCTCACAGGTGTTTGTGGTCTGTTACTATGACAAATTTACATCCGTAACAATATTCGTGGAACTATCTCAAACTAACGATAACCATCAAACCTACCTCCTCTATCTGGGTGTACCAAGTCCAGGAAGCATCCACTACTGGGCATTAATTCCGTTGGGCCACTGGTGAGCCAATACTATCCTGATACTGTATGGAGAGGCATTGCATGTCAGCACCACCTTTCGCTTGGGATCATAGTGGGCCAACATCTTTGATGACAATAGCTGCTTTTTCACTTCCCAAAAGGCTACTTCTTCGTTATGTGACTATTCCCAAGGCTGACCCTTGTTCAATAGCTGGTGTAAGGGTGTCAAGATGGAGGCCAGGTTATGTATGAATTTTCTGCAAAAAAAAATTCACCAACCCAAGGAAACACTTAATCTTCGGTACAGACGAGGGAGAGGGGCATCTTTGATCACCCTCCCTTTATCTTCCAATGAATGCAGCCTGGTCGAGTCAACTCAGCAGCCCAAGTAGGTCACTTGGGTGCCTGGAACACACATTTTTCCCTTCTAAGGGGAATGTCCACCTGGGAGAAACATTTAAGTATTATGTCCGAGTTCCCCAAGTGCTTTTTATTGGTCTTGCCGATTATTAACATGCCATCTGGATAAATGGCAACCCAGGCTGAACCTTGTAAAATGCTCTCCATGGCCCGCTGGAAAAGGGTGAAGGCAGATGATACCCCAAACAGTCTTGTCTCTTGGTATAAACCCTTATGGGTGTTAATTGTGATATGTTTCTGGGACTCTTCATCCTGGTAAGTGCAGTTGTGCATGGCTCATGTCCAGCTTTGTGAAGGACAGCTCCCCCCACCAGCTTTTTATGAATAAGTCCTCTGTGAGGGATTGGGTATTTATCCAGCTGAGAAGTGCTTTACTGTTTGCTTAAAATCTGCACAAGGCCAACTGAGCCATCAGGCTTCACAGCCAATACGACCAATGCTGCCCATTCCACAAACTGGACTGGTTTGATGATTCCTTCACTTTGCAGCTTTCTGATTTCACCTCTACTTTTGCCCATACAGCAAATGGCAGTGGGTGGGCCTTGCAGAATCACAAAATTGCTTCTGGGTCAACATGCAAGGTGGCCTTGGCCACTTTGATCATCCTTAAACCTTTCCGAAAAACTTCCGGCCATTTAATTAGGAGTTCACTCGGGAAACCATTTTCTAATTGAGAAATGTTGAGCCAATCAAGGTGAATAGTTCTCAACTAGTTCCGCCCCATCAGGCTTGATCCTGAGCCAGAGCCCTTTACTAAAGTCAGTGGTAACTACACCAATTGCTTCTCATAGGCGACAGGAATCAAATTTGTACCCTTAATCTGTAACGGCTCCTCAGTGTAGGTTCTCACTCTGGTTGAGGTCTTGCACAAACGTAAGAGTTGGAATCCAGAGTGAATCTTGTTAAAGACTGGTTCAGCAATCTCTGATACAGTCGGACTGGTACTGACCTACACGAGAACTGGGTGAGCATTTAACCAAATGATCATTTATTTTATTTGGTTCTGATTTGGACGTTGCCAAATAATTTAACCTTTCCAAACCACAGGTAGATGCACTCCCAGGGTGTGCACTCTCCTTGACACCAGCGTATGAGTTTTCTTACTCAAGTCAGGCCTTGTAGAACTCCTTTGTCTCGAACCTGCATATGGGCAGCAACTATAATGGCTTGCTGCACCGGATCCTGAAGAATATTTTAGCCATTTGGCTGCGGGCCGGCTTAGTCTTGGAGTTGTGCTGTGGGTTGACTGAGGGTTCCTCTGCTCAGGATATGACCTACATGAGTCTCCGTGATTGCCGACACTCAAACGGTGTTCCCTAATCTCAGTGAGATGGGTGAAGGTGTCAGCATCCGTTGGGATACCTGGAGCTCCCATGCTCCATTTCTTGCATTTTCTAATGACAAAGCCAGTTGTAGTGCCTGTTTGACGTCCCGTTGGGCTTCAGCTATAGGTGCTTTTGCAAGGTTACGTCATTCATCCCACATACCAAATGTTCTCTCAGCATCTTATTCAAGGTTAACCTAAAATCACATGCCTCTGCTGGTCATAGAGTCATAGCGCTGTACAGCATGGAAACAGACCCTTCGGTCCAACTCGGCAATGCTGGTCAGATATCCTAAGTTCATCTAGTCCCATTTGCCAGCATTTGGCCTGATGTCTTAACCTTGTCAAAAATTGCAATACATATTTCTTTTGTTCTTGAACAGCTAAATAAAACCAATAGTGCCTCAGAATTAGAGGAGGTTTGGGGTAATAATATTCCTTAATTAAATCAATCAAGTCTTGAAAGGTTTTAGTATCTGGTGCCTCAGAGAAAGTTACGCTCCTAATAACCGAAAATGCTACAGGTCCGCAAACAGTCAGAAGGTTACTCATTGCTGTCGTCCACCCCAACATCATTTTCCCAGAACAAATAATGCATTTTTAACATTTGCTAGGCTGAGTCTTTGACGGCATGATCGAACAAGCCGAGCTCCCCAAATAAAAACATAATGCCAGCAAAAATAATGCATTCTTTCCATCTACCAGGCCCAGTCTTCAGCAGGATCGAATGAATCAAGCTCCCCAAATAAAGGCATAATGCCAGAAATGCTTACCCCAACTCAAAGACGGCCGTTGCGAGTGAACTTCCTTCAGGCATGTGTTATTTTCTCTCGCCACTACTGAAATAACTGCACAGAGGCCGGTATCCCATCACTAAGTCACCCTTTATTTACATGTGCTTTGTACATTGGCTCTAACCAGCCCGCTAAGAGCCAGTCCCTTGGATCAGGAGTCTCTCTGAATCTCTGATTTATATCTGTCAGCCGGGGCTCCTTGATTGGCCCAGGTTAACCACCCCAATCAAGGATCTCATAGACAGATCCACCTGGTCCAGGCCCCAATCACTGCAATGCCCCTCATGATTTTATAGACCTCTATAAAGTCACCCCTCAACTCCGATGCTCCACTGAAAAAGGCCCAACCTATCCAGCCTCTCCTCATAACTCCAACCCTCCAGTCCCAGCAACATTCTGGTAAATCTTTCTGAACCCCCTCCAATTTAATAATATCCTTCCTATAGCAGGGCGACCAGAACTGTACACAGTACTCCAAACGTGGCCTCACCAATGTCCTGTAAAATCTCAACACGATGTCCCAACTTCTAACCTGAAAAGTCTGATCAATGAAGGCAAGCATACTGAATGCCTTCTTAACCACCTTTTACCTGTGATGCAATTTTCAAGAAACTTATGTACCTGAACCCATTGGTCTCTCTGTTCGACAACATTACCCAGGCCCCTACCATAGCTGTAACTTGAACACAGCCTTCAGGACTTTTGGTCCTGGCCATGGAAAACGTTTTATTGTCTCTACTGTCCCCGATTACAGCTACATTTCTGTTTTCTACCCTCTTTTGAATGGCTCCCTGCACCATGGTGCTGTGGTCAGTTTCCTGCAGTCCTCACTCTTATTCATGTAGGAATCAAGAATCTCAAATCTATTAGACCAGCTCAAGGTCTGAGGCTCCTTAAGCGCTACCTCCTGGATCCCTCTACCTGTCTCAGCCATAGTCTCAACCCCTTATCCTTGACCACTGACAGAATTCGAGGTAGTTAATCTCAGTGGTGTGACTGCGTTTGAAACACAGCAGCCAGGTAACTCTTCCCTTCCCAATGTGTTGCAGCGTTCGAAGCTCAGACTCCAGCTATAGATGTGGTCACTATGAACCACAATGGAGTCCACCGACTTCCGCAACATGCATTTACAACATACCGCCTGGCCCAGCATCTCTGTTTTAACTACTTGTTCTTAATTTGATGTTCAAAAATTTTATAATGATCTTTTATTTTGTAGCCTGTAAATATTTCTCCTATTTACTTTCAATCAGAAAATAACCGATAATAGATTGTCAAGTCAATCAATAAACTTGCGGTTTTCCCGTCATGTCACTGTTTTGTGCTGTGCCCCTGTTCCTGGACTTCAATTTATCCTGTTAAGAAAACCTGACAAAAAAATGAGCCAAAACAAGCAAGCAAGCAAAAAGCTCCTCTTCCTCTCAGCACCAACTTCCCATGCTGCCTCCAGTTCCCAAATGATAGACTCAGTCGGGCTGTGTCTCACTCTGGATGTGATCTCTCCTTCCTGATTATGCAGTTTCCACCCTTCACATTACTTGGCATCAGCGATGTGATTACATAAAGTACGCCTTGCGTTTATTTCTGAATAATGTAAAGAATAGAGGAATTAGAAGGAACCCTTCATAAATCTCACTTTTATTATTTTTGCTGCTGCTTAATTAATCCTTTCTATCTCTGAAGCTCCCTAAAATACTAACAAATAGCTCACCATTTTGCTACTTATTTCCTCATTAATTTCAAGGTTGATGACAACTGCATGGATCTGACTCTTTGGATCTGGAATTTGTCCACAGTCTTTACCTATTGATATTAATCTGGATGATTCATGTATAACACCTGCCATTACCTTATACTCCATAACATCAATCGAATTATCCTGGAAATGACTTGTCTGGTGTTTCTATCATAGAGGCAATGTCACTGGATGAGTAGGTGAGAGGCCCTGGTTAATAGTCTTGGGCAATGGGTTCAAGGTCCTCATGGCAAATTGTAGAATTTACATTTAGTCAATTCCAGCTCGAATTGACTAAAAACTAGTCTCAGTGATGACTGTTGTTAAACCCTATTTTGTTCATTCATGCCCTGCAGGGCATGAAATGTGTGCCCCTAACCTGGTCTGGCCTCCAGACCCATCCCAATGTGATTGATTCAGACCTGTCCTCTCCAATCAGTTCCAGGAAATTTGGGATCAACAGCAAATGCTGGCTTTGCCAACAACATCAATGACCCATGAAACAATTTCACTTAGAGTTAAAGGAATTTTATAAGCATCCATACTCTGCTAATTCTCATTTGTTATCCTCACTTGTAGTTTACTCTATCCTCCCTCCACCCCCTCCACTTTTCCTTCCCCTGCATTTGCTAAAAACCTGTCAACCGTCTTTTTTTTCTAATTCTGATGAAAGGGCATTAACTTTTTTCTTTCTCCACAGATGCCACCTGACTTGGTGATATTTCTAGCAGTGTGCGTTTTTATTTCAGATTTACAGCATCTACAATATTTTTCTGTTGATTCATGATGTCGTGGCTTCTCATGTTCAAAATTTTGCCTTGTATTTTTTCAGAACTAGAACTTTGGAAATTTATCATAGAACACGGTAAGAGTTCAACACCGAAATATTCATAAATTATCAGTAATGTTTGTTTTGATATGATTGTAGGTTTAATGAATTACATTCACATTTATCTGGTAGGATCAGTTAATTACATGACATTGATGAAGTGACAGTGCTTTAAACCAAAGGTTTAGTAAAGTGATTTCCTCATAAATTTTGGAACACATTTCATAGAATGGAATAATTTTCCATGTTTGATTTAAATGTATTGAGCAAAGTTTTCTAAGATCTTCTCCTGCTTCAGGGGTCTCTGAAACAGTAAATTGTGGGTGACTCCAGTTGAAGCTGAAAAATGCCCATAGTTCACTATTCTCACTATTATGTTTCGCAGAGAATCAGTCTGCTCTATCAGTATGTAATTTGTGCCAACCCATGGGCACTTTATTTTGTACACCTGCTAGAAACTAGATAAGATTTGACCAAGATTGTTTTATTTGGAAACATGATATCCAGCAGAAATTAGAGAGTTGAATCCATTTATCTCGCTGGAGATCCCATCCAAATCTCAGATTTAAAAGAACTGTGCCACCCCTAACATTTGAACAGATTTTATGATAGGCCATCATCGAATTTAATTAGAAAAGGCTCTGTTTAAGAAGGGATGGAGGCAGAAGACAGGAAACTATAGACCAGTTAGCCTAACCTCAGTCATTGGTCAGATTTTAGATTCATTATTAAGGATGAGATTGCTGAGTAATTGGAAGAGCATGGTAAAATAAATAGGGTGCTGTCAGCACTGCTTTGTCAAGGGGAGGTTATGCCTGACAAATCTGTAAGAATTCTTGAGGATGTTACAAGAAAGTTAAACAAAGGAAAGCCAGTGTATATGATGTATTTTGATTTCCAGAAAGTCTTTGACAAGCTGCTGCACAGTAGGCTGCCAAATAAGATAAGATATGTTTGGGGTAAGATACTGGCATGGATAGAGGATTGCCTGACTAGAAGAAGGTCATAAGTCACACTGCACCTGATGAAGGAGCAGCACTGCAAAAGTTTGTGATTTCAAATAAACCTGTTGGACTATAACCTGTTGTCATGTGACTTCTGACTTCACCCACCACAGTCCAACACCGGCACCTCCATATCATGACTACGGGAAGGCACAGGTTCAGCATAAAGGGTGTACACTTTTCAGGTTGGCAGTTGGTGACTAGTGGAATTCCGCAGGGATCAGCTTTGGGACCACACTATTCACATTTTCATGATCTGGATGAAGGAACTAAGGATGTTGTTACGGAGTTTCAGACGACGCAAGGATAGGTGATGGACAGGTAGTATTGAGGGACCAGGGAGGCTTCTGAAGAGCTTTGACCGGATCGGAGAGTGGGCAAAGAAGTGGCAGATGGAACACAAAGTGTGACGTTATGCTCTTTGGTACAAAGAATGCTGCAAGAGTGACCTCTGTAAAGGCAGTCAGAGACTTGAAGACAGCGAAGCAAAGCAGCACTTGAGAACTTTATTCAAGCAAAACACCGGTATAGATGCAGGGGGAAGGGGTCCAAGACTCACTCAGGAGTTTGAACTCTCTCCGAACACAATGGTAGGAAAGTACTTCTTTTGTACCATTACACAAACAGGCTGATGCAACCCCAAAACTATATTAATTATTATTCACATCTAGCATGAGCAGTAAATCTAACAACACCATACAGTTTACGAACAGTGGTATATGGCTCCGACAATAAGACACTGGGTGCTATTGTCCATTGAAACCTTTATCGTAAATAAACGTGCAGTTACTCATCATGCCTAGCCCGGAACCCTTGTCACTGACATCTGCAGACTAGTTTGCTTCCTGCCTGGAACATCCCATGAACATCCCATGGCCTGTTCCCTTGGGAACTATCTTCCAACTTACTGCTTGTCTCTGCAGCAGCAAGCAAGTGCACTTTTAATTCTTACTTTTAACCATTATCTATTTATTTGTCCCTTCCTGCAGATCTGTGAGAAAACTATGTTTCTGTAAGAAATCTATATTTACATGGGGAGGTGATGGCTGAGTGGTAATATCACTGGAGTGTTAATCCAGAGACCCAGGTAATGTTCTGGGGACCTGGGTTTGAATCCTGCCATGGCAGATGGTGGAATTTGAATTCAATAATATCTGGAATTAAGAATCTAATGATAACCATGAATCCATTGCTGATTGTAGGAAAAGCCCATTTGGTTCAATAGTGTCCTTTAGGGAAGGAAACTGCCATCCTTACATGTGACTCCAGACCCACAGCAATGTGGTTGACTCATAACTGCCCTCTGGCTAATTAGGAATGGGCAACAAATGCTGGCCTCTCTGAATCTTACTACTCAGAGAGTAGTAAGGGCGTGGAATGCCCTGCCTGCAACGGTAGTAGACTCGCCAACTTTAAGGGCATTTAAATGGTCACTGGATAAACATATGGATGATAATGGAATAGTGTAGATTAGACGGGCTTCAGCTTGGTTTCACAGGTCGGCGCAACATCGAGGGCCGAAGGGCCTGTACTGCGCTGTAATGTTCTATGTTCTATGTTCTATGTTCTAAAGGGGAAAAAAAAACACTCTTTCCCTCTTCAATGCAAGTGTAAACTATTTTCTAAATGCAGAAACTCTTTGCAAATCTGAAGCATGAAGGAACTTTGGGAGTCCTAGTTCGCAATTGTCTTAATGCTAACATGAAGGTAGTGTTTGGGAAGCAGGCTGCAGAAGAACTTGGGTTTTCTTGGCAAGTGGGTAAAGAAGTGGCAGATGACATACAGTGTGGCAAAGTATGATGTTATGCACTTTCATGGGATGAGTAGAGCATAGACTATTTTCTAAATGGGGAAAGGCTTTAGAACTCTGGAATGCAAAGGCACTCGGGAGTCATTGTTCAGGATTCTCTTAAGGTTAACAGGCAGGTTCAGTTGGCAGCTAGAAAGGCAAATGTAATGTTAGCATTCATTTCAAAAGGGCTAGAATACAAGAGTAGAAATGTACTGCTGAGGCTGTATAATGCTCTGGTCATATTTGGAATACTTCGGCCATGTATCTAAGGAAGGATGTGCTGGCGTTGGAGGGGTACAGAGGAGATTTAAAGAATGATCCCAGGAATGAAAGGCTTGTCATATGAGGAGCGGGTGAGGATGCTGGGGCTGTACTCGATGAAACTTAGAAAATTAAGGGTGATCTGATTGAAGCTTGCAGAAAATTGAGAGACCTGGATAGAGTGGATGTGAAGGAAACGTTTCCGTTAGTAGGAGAGACTCAGACCCACAGGCAAAACCTCAGAGTGAAGGGATGACCCTTTGGAGCTGAGATGAGGAGGAATTTCTTAAGCCAGAGGGTTGTTAATATTTGGAACCCATTGCCACAGAGGTCTGTGGCAGACAAGTCATTGAATGTATTTAAGCCAGAGATAGTTAGGTTCTTGATTAGTAAGGGGAATAAAAAAAATTATAGACACCAAGCAGGAGAATGGGTTTGAGAAATAAATTAGCCATGATTGAATGGCGAGCAGACCCGATATGCAAATAGCCTAATTCTGCTCATGTATCTTACGATCATATGGTCTTAGACAGACAATATTACTGTTGGTGTAAAATGAATATGTCCAGTCTGTAGGAAATTATCTCTGTCATGCCATGGTGCCCTGTCTGAATTGTTCAGAATTTTGTTTGTGTAAACCATGGGAAGAGCTGACAACAACAATTCTAGAAAGAAACTTGCACCAACTAATCCTGCTGTTCCTGATATGTAACAGTGTAAATTAAGTAGTATTGGAGAATCCAGATTTCAGGATCTTCAGTAACCAGTTTAAGGACAGGTCAGATGGACAACTCTCTGTACCCATTCCTACACACAATGGCTAAAATTAACGATTATCAGTGTGATTGCGGTTAAGGAACATAATATAAAAGTGTAGTTAGTTAATCCATAAATAGTAGCCGAGATAAAAGATGAATTCATTGTCATTTTCTGAGTTATTCCTTCAATTTCTACCTTTTATATATGAGTAATATTAAACCAATTTCTGAAACAATATGAGTATCAACAGACCATTTTCTGAGCTTCACGTTCAAGAGTGATGCACAGATTGATCCAATGATCATGCACTGTTTTAATAAATATTTAAAATGCTTAAATAACTTGATTATTTGCAAGTTTCATAAGTATTTTGGGAGAATGATTTGTTGATAGCACTTGATGGTAATCGGACAGATCCTCGAGTGAAACTTCATAAACCACATGGTTTGCTTTCACAGTTTGATTTCTGTAGTAGTCAGTCAGTGAAGAAATTCACAAGGTTGCCAGTCACTTTGAACAAGAGAACACAAGTTCCCTTGCTGTGACTTTAGACACAATGAGCACAGACGGTTCTCTTTGTCTTTCCATAAAACATACAACAGATAGGCTAGCTCACTGATGTTTCCTCACTAAACTTGAAGAAAAGTTCAGTGTTTCTTCCAACTCTGTTGACTCAAGCTGCTAAACAGCTTAAGATAACATTCCACCTCCAATGCAAATCTAAACTGTCCTTCTACTGTTATGGAACTTCTTTGAATTGAATTTTCTTCTGACGTTTGACCTCTAATCTCTCTTTATACTGATCATAAAAACTCAGCTTTGTAAACACATTATCTCCGGAATAGTTTTGTCAAGCCCTTCATGAGCAGTTAACACCCCTGGGAATTTATCTCGTCATTTAGCTTAAGTTGCTTCCTGTCTTGGAAATGATGTTTTAAACTACCTTTCAAAATTACTTTCTGACTTTATTTTTTTTAAAAAATCACCTTCACAGGAATAAAATCATAAATCGCTTTCCCCTCCTTTAAAATCTAAGTTCACAAATAATAATAATAATATACTACAAACCTACATCACTGTTTCAAGCTGGAAATCAGAAGTCCCAGGTTTGTCTGAAACATTCTAAGATTAGGTACGTGACAAATTGTGCTGAGGAAATCTCCTTCCAGACTTATTCCCTAAAATAGATCTTCCCTTTGAAATATTGAATACAAACTTATGAATATAAATTAATTAGAAGCATGTAAAAGCCATTCAATCCATGAGGCCTGTTCTGCCATTCA